CTCTCTCTCTCTCTCTCTCTCTCTCTCTCTCTCTCTCTCTCTCTCTCTCTCTCTCTCCTTTCCATGTGGTTCCTTCTGTCATGTTATGATACAGCAATAAGGGAATAAGGGCTTTGCCAAAACAAGGCCATTTCAACTTGGACTACTCAGCTTCCAGAATGATAAGAAATAAATCTCTTTTTAAAAATAAATTTCTCAGTCTCAAGTATTTTGTTATAGCAGCACCGAATGGACTAAGACACATTGTACCTGAAGAGGTTGGGGGCCATGCAGGTGTGTTTTGGGGCGGGGTGGATGCTCTAGATTTGGGAAAATTAAGAGCTGGTTCCATTATATGAATATCCACTACTCAGAAGGCTGGGTGAGGCCAGAAGCACCTTGGGCAGTGGATGTGGAAGACAAAAAAAGGCACAATGTAGGAAGGTAGAAGAGAAAAGAAATATAAACTTTGGTGGCACCATGAAATTATGAAAAGCCAGCATTTCTGATAATTATAAATAAAAATGTGTTCATACAAGCTCAGCAAAGGTTGGGTATTTTATAACAGGAGTCTTTATTGGACAGGATCACAATATATATTTTCCCCCTGAAGTCACCATCGATTCTATCATAAAAATATATTACAACATTTGACATGTATTCACAAAACACAAGCCATTGTAAACAGAGCAGGCAGCACTGGCCTTGGATTAAAAAATCTTGAGTCCTACTTCAAAAGAAAACAGCTGTGGGCAGGTGTATCCCATGAATGGTAATATTGCCACATCGGAAGAGCTTCTTCTGGGAACATTTTAAAAAAATAAGTGGAGCCTTACTTCTATTTTATAAATTAGAAGAAAGTCAGGTTAAAGCTATAATGTCAAATGTTAAGAAGACACTAAACTGTTGCTTCGTTTGCTTTGTACTCAGTGTGCCGCTGTTTGTGTTTATGATCATTCATCTGTATGTATACCCTCACGGGCACATAGAGTTATGGGCACACACATTTATGAGTGCATTTGCTCCAACACAAACACACAGATGTCCCACCCATCTTTCCATGAATCTGATATTAAGGAATCACAACACTGTGCAGAAGCCGAACATTTGCAGATCATTCTGTCCCCAGGAATGAATTTTTTACATTTTTCTAAATCCTGGTTTCCAAAAGTATTCTTGGAATGTGCAGAGTACATTTCCTTGTGGGATACTAAACGAGCTGGCACACACATTGGATTTTCTTAATGCAGCTTCCTTTTGTTGTCTACTGGGCACTGTTTGGATGACCAAAGCAACAAATGGTGTGTGTCCTCCTACCTCACTTTGTACAGCCACCAAAAAATAAATTTATGGAAACACAAGGTATGCAAAAAATTGGACCTAGATGTTCTCAGGACTTGGAGACCCCAGGAGCTCTAAGGATAGCATTTAAGCAATTTTCCTTTCATTTACAGGAAGTGATGGTTCTTGCACTGGATATTAGACAGAGTAGAACCTCCCAACTTCCTCCAATGGGGAGAATACATAGCTGATCTTGTCTGCTGTCATCCATAGCTCAAGATACCATGGGAGAGGGAGAGATTTACCTTCTGCCAGGAGCTTCATCAGAAGGACAATGCATATCCAGATGGCAAGGATTAAGAGTCCTTCTCCCAGATGAGCCTGAGAAAATGAAGACTGGGGTATTCCAACGCCTAGAAAGACCATGCCAGGTGGTAATGAGGGTGAGGCAAGGCACCTTTTTAATTTGTCACTACATTTCCACAGCTGTTTGTGGCTTAGAGAAACCCAGGTTTTCCCTGGGAAGATCCCAATAGGTTTGGCAAGATACCAGCCCCTATAAATATCCCTGCAGTCCAGAAGAGATTGTATTTGCACATTTATTGTAAAACAGGATTCTTGAGATTTGGAATGATTTCAGTTTGCAAGGAAACTTGACATTTGAACTTTGAGTGGGGAGGGGCAAGGTGGTTATTCTTAATAATTAAAGCAAAGGTTTGGTAATCAATGGGTTGAATGAAGGCAGTGGCAGACAAAGCCTTTATAAAGGGGCTGGATGTTGGATATTTTAGCTATACCTAAGCAATCACTACGATCTGGTCCTTTTGAAACTAAACGTCATAGGCTTGCAGTCAAGTGTCCTTGTGATGGCATTTGGTGCTTGCCTAGTCCGAACTCATTCCTTTAAAAGGGTAAGAGGTGTGACTGAGATGTGGGTCCTGATGGTAATACTAAGAACCTCACAAGTCACAACAGACTTCCTGTCTCCAAATACAGACTTTAGGCTCTGAGACCATCAAATCATGGACTCTGGGTTTTATTAAGCTCATGCCCAGTTTCTGTGCCAGGGAATAAGTATAACACCAATTGCACAGTCATCGGGTGTGTGTAAGAGGACACAGGAAATACCACACATCGGTGTTCCTAAAAATACAAGCATGCCCAATGGCACACACAAATTTTCAAGTAAAAAACCCAGTTTATTTTGAAAGTCCTTAATTATGGGTGCACGTGATAAACTTAGAGCACTGCTAAGATTGATTAGATTTGTGTTTGACCTTTGAATGCTAGATACATATTTACATGGCACATTGTACTAGTGAACTGTGCACCACCTGGAGAGAGGTATGGGTACTGAACTGCGAAGTAGCGCGGGGACTTTTGCAGCATGACTGTCTCTGCTGTGTGACCTCTTCCATTTGTCCCAAGGTGGTAGGTGAGAGTGCTCCCTCAGACCCTCCATGGTACTAAATATGTAATAATCCCCTCCCAAAAGCCTATATTTAGCCTCACTCAGAGCGCTGCTGGGGGATGTGCCTGGATGGACATGGTTGGTTTCATATGCATAAATTGTGCTTTTAAGGAGGAACATCACTGTCCCTCAAAATGAATGCAGTCCCTTTTGCCCCTCTCTTGTTCCCTCCTTTCCTTTTCTTTCTCACTTTCCTTCTCTTTTTTCCTTTCCTTCCTTCCCTTTTTTTTTCTTCTTCTTTCTTTCTCTTCTTTTGGTGTTGCTAAATAAATATGGATATATCCCATATCTCCTCTTTCTAATTTTGACAGTTCCAACTTCAAGACTTCCATCTTCTTCTGCTGATGACAGATGTTGTTGGCTCTGTCCTGTTCATGGGGCCTCCACCCCACCCATTGGACCCCACTATAGGGGTCCAATAGACACCAAGCTGCCACCTCACTGAACTCCTCATCGGGCGGGATCATATCTCTGTGTCTTGCCACATGTTGCTCCCTCCTGTTAGTCTGGCCCAAACTTCACTGCCGTTGTGAAGCCTTCCAAAACCCTGCTTCCCCCATCAGTCAAGTTCTGCAACCTTGAGCACACTCCCCAAAATATGCAGCCTGCCCCCCACACCCGATAGTAATTGCCGTTCTCCCCCTAGGCCTGGCAAAGCACCCACAGAACTAAGGAGTGAAAGCTCTGGGTCTTGTTTGTCTGCTTGCCATTCCAGGACTCCATCCTCTTCACCACCAGCAGGTCACAGCCTCTACACAGGGATGAGTAGTCAGTGAAGCCACATAGGTCTTGGCTGTTCCCTGTCCCCATAAATCTTCCCTGAGAAGTTGGACAAAACCATTCTTTGGAACCTGTGATTCTCCCCTCCCAGGTAGTTGACCCCCAAAAGTTTCTAGTTCCTTTTGCTTCTCCAGTGTTTAAAGAAGGAAGCTTGAGGAGGCTTGGACTTCCTGGATGCATCTGAATAGGAGAGCAGGAGCTTATGGTTTCTACCACCTTCGTTTAACCAGGCCAGGAACAAAGGCAGGAAAGAGACTAAGTACTGGGTTGGGGGTTTGGGGCCAATCAGTCACTGGGTCTGGGAGACAACAGGAGCCACTGGGAAGGTGGGAAGCTTACAAAGAATGCTGCTTTCACAGAACTTGCTACTAGCTGTTCCTGGGGGAGTGGCAGGGGAACCACAATGGAGGAAATTGGAAATCCACAAAGGAACCACACCCAAGGACTGGCATCCAGATACATCTCTTGCTGCAGCCTGATTCAGCTTCTAGTTATTAAGCTGCATGTAACAAGCTCTGGTCAATGGCATAAATGACAGATATTACCTCTTTCCACAGTCAGGTTGTCTGAGGAAATAGCTTGATCCAAGGCCCATGCAAGTGTTCTGAAAGGGCCTCTCTTAATGCCTTTTCTCTAACAAATGGTCCCAACTCTGCCATCTCTTCCAACGTCTTACCCCTAGCATGTCTTACCCCTTGGAGCCTCTGCTGTGCCATGGTCTCATGCAAACACACTTTCAGCATTTCATGAAATGAGTCTTCCTGTCCTTCTGAGAACAAAATGACCCAGCTCTTAAATAAAGCTGGAGATTAAACTATTTGGATAGTTAGGGAAAGATGCAAGACAATGGAAATTTAGGTATTTAAAAATACCCAATTTCCATTCAGTTTCTCCAGACATATAAGATCATTCTTCCTAAGGGGGTAGTTTGAAGAACACTCGTGTTGGTTAGCTGATCACTGATGGTTGTAAATGCAGAATCCCATGTCTTTCCCAGCTACATAAATTGATCTCTGAGGAACAGATGCCAGGCTCTATATTTAAACCACCTCCCTTGGTGACACTTGGGGATAGTAAAGTTTAAGAACCAATAGCTCGGTTCAGATACATCAGGCCCTCGGGAAGGCAGTGAGACCCTATCATTCCCCAGACCTCTCCCTCATTGCTCCTGAGCCACTGATCCAAGGGATTCCCGGCACCTGATAAAATATCTGAACTAAAATCAGGCAGATTAGTTCATCCTGCACTCAGGTTACATTCTAACAGTGCACAGCTTTCCATTTCTCTGAGGGTCCTATTGCTGCCAGGGAAGGCATCTAATCACGTAAAAGATGACAATCAGGACATGTGCTTGGCCTCATTCTTTCTGTCTTCTCTTGGGAAGAAAGACACATGAAAAAGAAAAAGAATTTCACAAACACAAGGAGAGAGGTTCATTGCTCAGGGTGACAGGAGCCTGAGCTGAGTCCTGGAAGAGCATGCAGTTGGAATGAGATGACTCATGTCATCAAGTCCCTCTTCCTCTGCCTCACTTGTAAGCAAATATGGGCCAGCTCCTATTGGGGGAGGGCACCTGGAAGGTGAGCCAACCACAAGACCCGCAGACCTATGTGCCATGATACCCATCAAGTGGATTGTTCTCTTTGGAGCCCCAGGCTTTGAAATTTCCTTCTCCAAGAAAAGATCTAAGGAGCCAGATGTGCATATAACTGTAATCTCACCTACTTGAGAGGCTGAGGCAGGAGGACTGCAAGTTTGAGGCCAGCCTGGGTAATTTAGTAAGATTCTGACTCACAATAAAATCTAAAAAGGTCTGGAGGTTAGCTCAATGGTGGAGCACTTGTCAAGCATGCACAGGGTCCTAGGTTTCATTCCAGGTACCCCCACTCCAAAAAAGCTAGAATAGTGCCAGAACAATTATTATCAGTAAATTCTGAACATGTAGGACAATGCACTGAGCCCTCTATGTGAATTTAGGAGTCAGAAATCCTCTCTGCTACAAGTATTATTCTTCACGTTTCTTTAAATACTTTTTCCCTGTCCAGATATTTCCTCCGTTTGTGCCTTAACCATTAAGCCTTACACGAGCTGAAGTCAAGCAAGCACGTACAGGCCTCTTGATTTAGATGACAAAAGTCCTGGTGTTTCAATGTGTTATACCTGAGAAAACCATGTGACATTTGATAACTGAAATTCCCAAAATGAGGTAGATAATTTAATTGGGAATAGCGAAGGCAGGGGGCAAACTTTAGAGACTGCCTATAGACGCATATAGACATTGATTGAAAAGTAATAATAGCAGAGTTGCTTAACACTGTTTTCTAAGGCAGCACTTTTCTTCTCACTGCCCTTTGGGTTCTTAATTCCTATGTCTAAATGATGACGAAAATATTAAATCAATCAGTTTGTCTGAGGGTTTTACCTACATGATGTCAATATAACTGGTTTTATTGGGTTCTGAGAGGTTTTAGAGGTTCCGTGAAAGTTATGAAATGCATCTGTTACAATGTGTGGTACTGTGGGTAAAGGTCTTGCTTTAGCTAAAGAAGAGGAAAAGAGGATCTAGTTTCTACCAGGAGTACACTATGTTGCTTATATAAACCAAGCTGAGAGGGAATTTGCCAGTTCTTTCTCCAAACTGATACTGCTTGCATTTGACTGTCTGCTCTCCTCATTCACTGGGTTGCCACTCTTCTCTTATCTAATTTCAGGAGTACTTGTGTGAAAAGGGAGGATTCACATATTCAATCGTGCATGTTGGTTCCTGGTTGATTTCACCTTCAGTGGCACTTTTGGTGTTGGGATAATGGGTGGCAGACAGCTGCTTGTCACTAGGAAAGCTCAACAAAAGCATCTGTTGTGATTTAAACTTAAGTGGCCAAATGGGCTCTGAACCAGAGCAATTTCATTTCAGTAACACACAAAGTCATGCCTGGCAGTGATGTGCTGGGAGATGTTTAACTAACTCTCTGGGAGAAGGGCCTGATCAGTAGCATTTGCACAGTATAGAAGCCATGGCTGATTTAAAGCTACCAATGCGATGTCCCTGATCACAGGAGGGGGAGAGGTCAAGCCCTATTGACTCCCTAGAGGATTGGCTAGGGAGAGCTTGATCAGAGACTCAAGCCAGTATCTGAAGGGAATCCTTTGAAATGCCCGAGTTCTTTTTCTCTAAAGAGCCAGATGTGAGCAGGCATGAACACACCTCTGCCAGCAGTGGGAAGATGTCACAGCCTCTTCAGATGCTACATCTGGCTTCATTCTAGTCTCCATGGAAGTAATGAAATCTGACACCCCTGGGCCTGGCTAAGTTGCTTTCTAAATGAGGAGCCAAGAGTTAATAAGACAATGTCTTCTCAAATGGGCAGACACTTCTCTACCTTTAGGTACTGAGGCTGCCTGGCAGAGAAAACTGTCAGACTCTCCTAGTTGGTCCCTGGTAGTCAGTTTCCTCCTTTCTCTACCTCCCAAGTAAGAACAGCCGAGCTGTAAGGAGAGAATGAGCCATCTGATTTCATAGCTATCCTTTCCACCCTAGAGGAATCACTTAAAGGATTGAGAAATAATTGCTTTGTGTATTCACAAATCAATTTAAAAATGGTGAATAATAATATGATGGTAGAAACCATGGACCACTCATCTTGTATTTTTATGAAATCAAGACTAGTCTGCTAATGGATTGATATTTGTATTACAGTATTTCGTAAAAGTTTCACTATCTCACCATAGCACAGGAGCTTTCTTGGTGACCTTTCACAGTCTTGCTCTCTATGAGATGGATGTACAGAAAGGAGGATTTTGAGCCATCAGGATAATGAAACCCAGTGCCTGATGATCAAGCCTAGATCTCTGCTTAGTTCATTACTTGCCCACCCATTTCATGAGGCTTGCTGAACAAGATGCATAAGACAAGGTGAAATTCTTCCTGCCAATTCAGGTCACACAGGGACAGGGAGACTGACCAGCCACTATCGTTCTGTTTTTACTTGGCTCTTACATTTATGACATGCAAATCACAAGAAAGTGACTTGTTGGTCAGACTGTGAAGAACCTAATATATGCATTACCCTGCATATTGAAACCATTTTCATGCTAAGATTGTCTACACACACAAACATGAGTTTTCTTCTTGTTGGGGGAAGAGAGGAAAAAAAGTTATATCTAATTTGCTATTCCTGGGACAACTAGTGGGCAGCAACCAGAGGGCCACTAATTGTTAAACATCTTTCCCTTAGGAGCAGAGCCCTAGGGTCTCAGCTGAGCACAATTTAATTGATCCTAGCTGGATAATATTTGGCTTAAATCAGCCACACCTACCAAGTAGAAAAGGGTCATTATATCTGATCTGGGGCCACATGGCCACTACCTGTCTCACCTGTAGCATGACTAAAATGTCCCATGGAGACCAATGCTTTTCTTCAGCATGGTCCCTCATGTCCAGCGGTTCAAGCAGGTGAATACGCCTCCCTACCTGCCACCAACACTGCATCCTTGGCAGTGTTGTCATCTCTAGGGGAGCCTCTGCTGAGTCTAGGAGCTCGAAGAAACCTCTCAGAAAGGCCAGAGTGTGGCCCATGGCTATCCTTTGGTGATAAACAGGGCAGTCCAACATCTGCCCTTGAGGAGCCAGGAAACAGACCCCAGAACCCCAAATCACTGGACTTGCTGGGGGATATAGGTGGGTGGTGTCCTTCCAGGATTCCCTAGCCTGCCCCTACTTCTTCTCCCCATCTGTCCCATTCCAAACTCTCCAGCAGGAACATGGTCCTTCACTCAGACACCGGCAGAATGTTCTGGCTGTGAGAGTCACCTGTGAGGCCTGAGGAGCGGATGGAGCGTCTGTGGAGGATCCTGTTCAGAATCTCTTTGCAGCTTTTTCGGTACTGATGTCGCAGCAGGGAGTACACAAAAGGGTCAGAGGCAGCCTTGCTGTAGGCCAAGCACTTGGACAGAACCCCCCAGTGGGAGCCAATGGGTGCCGAGGAGAAGAGCTCCACCAGTCTGCAGAGAGAAGGGTTGTTACTGAGAGCATCGCTGGCCAAGGCTTGATTCTATACTCAACCACCACTTCCTGGCCATGTTCCATTCCCCAGAGACCATGTCTTCAGTTAACAATGACAATGACAACAGCAGTGTAACCAATGACAATGATGACAGAGAACATTAATCAGGCATTTATGTTATTCTAAGCACCGTGCTAGTTAACCATTTCATACATGTGAGAGCACTGAGCCAGGAGACACGACTATCCCCATTTTCCAGCTGAGGAAATAGAGGTCCTAAGAGGGTAAATAATTTGCCCACAGTCACGTGGCAAATCAATTGTAAAGGTAGAATTTGGACCCACTCTGTCTGACTTAGAGTCCCGAGCTTCACTAAGAAAAGGGCTAACAAGCTAACAGCATCCTGGCTTTGGCTCAGCTTTGCTTCCGATCTGCTGTGTGACCTTGGGCAAGTTTTGTCCTTCTTGGACTTGCAGGCCTTATGTAAAGAGCAAGGAGGCCGAATGATCATCTGTGTGATCTTTTCAACTAGAAGTCTGGCTTGACTCTACTCCAAACCTGGTTCTGCCTTTCTAAGGAGACTGCACGGGAGGGAGGGCTGAGAATAATTTGGCAAACATTCTGCCAAGCTCAGAGCCTGTCCTGCAACAGGAATGAATCTGCTGTCAAGGAGGAGTTTTTTCACAAATTTAGGATTCTTATGTCTCTGACAAAAGTGGCAGTCAAGGTGACTGTCATTCAGTGAGGGAGAGCAAGGAAAGATACAACCACATGTCTGAGGATACAGATTCTTAGAGAACCCCCCCACCGTACTCACTGAACCCACCGTTCCATGGTACTAATGCCAGGCTGGGGGGCTCACCAAGAGCCTCGAGCTGTATATACAGAATTTCCCCACCCCATTTAAGCCGCTTTTCTATCTCAAATGTTTCTAGTTTGCTTGACTATTTTTGAACATTGTCCAGCATTAGCACTAGGTATAAAACAGCCAAAGATCTGGGACAGAGATGCAAGATTATAAACCACCCCCTCTCCTATCCATTGTAAAATGAGGAAATTGAGGGCCAGAGAGAAGAAAAGGGTCTCCAATGTCATGGAGCAAGTGAATAGCCATGGAAGGCTCAGCACCTGTATTCTCTGAGATTCTGGCCCTTTTTTCTGTCTGCAGTATCTGTAAAATAGAGGCAAGGCTGGCTCTCATCTTAGTAGGCTGTCTAGGGGAGGACCCAAGTAAAAAAAGATCCGACCTTGAGTTGTGACCCTACTGCCAGCTTCTGTTGATTTTCCTGAAGCCTCCAGGATGGGCTGCAAAACCAGCAAAGGAGGAGGAGACTAATGGGGTTCTACCCCCAGGAAGATGACCCTTTCCTAAACAGAGCCCAAGCAATCTGTTCTGAGTTTCCTCTCTCTCTGCCTTCCCATTTTTAGCATCCCTCTTTGCCCCTTCCCTTTGACCCCATGGAGGCCCACAGATTTCACAGAATAAAAATTTTCAGGATAATTTAAAATTTTACTATTTGGAAAATGAAGGGTAAAACCTATTGTATTTCCTTCTCTTCTCTAAGAGATTTTATGTGAAGCCTGAACTCACCACCAGCTCCATAATAATAGTTGTAGTTAGTGTCTCCTTTGAGCCAACCACTTAATGAACATAATCTGTAATATTAAATTTATCCTGAGAGTGAATATCATTATTCCCATTATACAGATGAGGAAACCAAGGCTGGCAGTGGTCGAGCAACAGTTAGGATTTCCTGTATGGAAAATGCAGCTCCATCTGCCTGCAGTCAAGCCCTGGCTAAATGCCACACTGAGATCTGAATCTTAGCATTGCACGGAAGAGATGGGCTATGAGGTCCCCTCAGCTCTAAGAATCGCTGTCCATGTAGTTACTATATGCTACACAAAATGTTTGTCTCTTGCCCTTCCCCAAATTGCACATGGCAACTTCTGCTTTGAAAAGCCAAGATCTGGCTTTTGTTAGTCCCTGGGCAGAGAGAAGCTTGGGGTAAGCACAGCCCTGGCTGTATAGAATTTGGCTCTACCTGGCCTCCAGCCAGGGGAATGCTGGGCTGCTCCTTCTATGTTCAGATGTGGTTGGCTGAGCCCCCTTCTGCTTTCCCTGTGTACATAGACACTCTGTGTCTGCCTAGCTGGCTCTGCTCTATCCTCGCTGACAGCTCAAATCTCCATTCATTTATAGGGGCTGAGAAAAGGCAAGGATTTCCATATTTCTAATTCCAGGTGTGGGCAGGAATTTGGATGACTACAAGGTCCCTTCCAGGTAAACTTAGAAAGGGAAGGCTTCAGCCCATCCTCTCATGCCAAGTTCAGCTCTGCTCACGCCTCCTAGGACCCTTGCCTCCATGAGAGAGGCAGTAGAGTTCCGATTCTATGACTGGGCGAAGCCACTGCCACTCTCTGCCTTTTTTTCTCCTCCCCTCCATGTGGGCAGTTTAATTCATCCACTTCCTGTTCCTCCCTGCAGCACAGGTAGATTCACCAAAGCAGTACCAGCTCCAGGAACAGAGAACACCTCCCTTGTCCTCTAGAAGCAGGACTGGTTCCCCAGAGCATCGCTCCTACCAGCTGCCCTGACCTTCCACTAAGCACCAGGGTGACTTTCCATGTATTCCCCAAGGTATGGACTAGAAAAACTTATCCGCCATCAGGTTCCATTTTAGAGGAAAATGCTTAAGCATGTGTAGTCACAATGTACATATATCTGCCCTGGCATAGCTACCCCTGCACTTGCCCTGAATGCTCCCAGGAAAGGGTCCATACTTAGCAGGCCAGAGGAGGAGGCAGAGGAGGGAGAGCGGGCTGCTTTTCCAAGCATTTCAGGTAACACTGTTGTAGAAGCTTCAGCCCTTTATTGAAGAAGATAGGGAAGTTCTCCAAGGGAGTGTGTGTGTGTGTGTGTGTGTGTGTGTGTGTGTGTGTGTGTGCAGTTAATCCCATATATGCACATGGACCTATGTGTTCGGAAATATAAAGCACTGCAGGGTACAGAGTTTGTTGAGTTGGAGCAGGACACAGAAGAGTTACACCCTTCTGAGTCCAGGCGAAACACAAAGCAGAAAGACACAGATTATGGCCACAAAATCCTATGCAGCTCTAACCCTTCTTCTCTGCTATGTATCCAAGGGATCTCTCTTCGAGTCGTAGTTTCTTTCTGGGAAGCAGCCCCCTGGCCCTGCAGTTCACTGGCAACTCTGGGAGCTGGCTGACATAGTAGAGGGCCAACCAAGGAAGACAGGAAGCTGTCCACCTGCACCCTTCATCCTGGGAAGTCCTAGTCCTCAGAATGAGGATGTGGTAACACGTGCACGAGCTGAGGCATTCTATGAGCCCCAGAGACCCATGACCCAGCCTTGCTCTGCAGTGGAATACCAGTGGAAGGGAATTCCTGGGTTGGATCTGTAGTCCCTACCAACTCCTCTGGAGTTGGTCCTGGGCTCAGTGCTCAGAAACCACTTCATAGCATCATCTCTAGCCTCCAGAAGCATTCTTCCTATTGTACACAGATGAAACCAAGGCAGTGATGCATCAAAACCGTGAGGCCCAGACAGAAGAACCAGAATTTGAACTCTATGGGTGTAGCAACCTTGTGCCTTCTTGGAGTCAGCCTGCCCGATGGTCTTTTGGACTCGCTTTCTGGTTCCGTGGTACAGCCAAGTACCTTTGCTTTCAAACATTAAATTTCAAGCAATAAATTACAGCCCTTTGTCATTCCTTCTGTGCCTATTGCCCATCTATCCTCCCTCCCTCCCTCTCTGTTTCTGCCTTCCTCTCTGTTTTTGTCTGGCTGGCTGACTTTTTGTCTTTGTCTCTATTTCCTTTCACCCTCTCCATTTCTATTTTTCTGTATATCTTTAATTCTGCTTTTGCCTCTGCCTCCATATCTCTGCCTCTCTGTTTCTCTCTCTGTCCTCTCTCTCTCTCTCTCTCTCTCACACACACACACACACAAACACACACACACACACACACACACATAGTGTGTATGGAATGGAATGTGGGCCAAAGAGCATTCCCTGGAAAGCCAGGCCCTGGTATTCCAAAGACTTCTTGAGAACTTTTATTTGAAGATCTGTAGGCCATAAGCGGATACTTTAAATTTTCATGAGACATTACAGTAGAAGTCATTTTATTAATAGAATATTAACATTTAGAGCTACTTGCATATTAAACTCCTCTCTCATCTACATGATGCCATTATTTTGAAAAGCTACAATAATGTATCTGTCAGGTTCCCAAATGCCTCAAAGCCTGATTCCAATTATTTAGGACAACTGTAATTATTTGTAAGCATATATCACTGCAGAGATGATAGCCTTCCAACTGCTTCTAGGCGTGTGAATTTTAATTCAGAAAATGTTTAGCAAGAACTGGTGGATGAGGCTGTGCGTCTGCGGGCTCTGCCCTGTTGGTTCAGGAGAAGTCCTCTTAACCCAGGTTACTGCGGTCACTGGATCTGGTGTGACTGTGAACTGGAGGTGCCAGACTCCTCACAAGAGTGTAGATAGATGGAGCTTTTGCAAATGATTTCTTCTGTTATCTTCTACGCCCCCCTGCCCAGGTGCAGGTGGCTGTTTGATTGGGAAGGTGGATGATTGTCTTGAGAACTATTCGCTGTATGTCACATGCCAACCACGTCCGCATCATGCTGAATGCTCTGCACAAGTGGTCTTATTTCTCACAACAGGCTGATTTCTCCTCATAATCAGTGGGCATTTTTCAATCTTCACCGGAAGGAAGATAGGAGAGTTGGAGCCAGGATCCCTGGAGGTGGATGTCTTATTAAAGTCTGCCAGGCGCCCACCAGCCTGGCAATTGGATGCCTTGGCAGTGGAAGTAGCTCTGATAAAGTCCTGGTTGCAGCCATACCTGGAGCCCAGAGGAGACCCGGCATGCATGAGCACATTTACGGGTACCCTCTCCCTGGACTATGCCTGAGGCTCCCAGCTACCCTGAAGACTAAGCATACTTATCTCCTCAGTCATGGACTGGGTGCGGGGTAGAGGTATTGGCAAGAAGAGGTTGTCCTAGGAGAGGTGCAATTTCAGGAGGACCTCCTGGAAGGATCAAACTACCCTATACTCTCCTCTATGCTGCACTATCTTGGTAGCTGATGCCCCTTCTATTTGGGCCCTCCTACCTCCAGGAGGAGAGCACTGATTTCCCAGGTAAGTCTGACTTTGGGCTGGACACTGGACAAGGAGGGGAGAGTGGAGGAGGTTCTGAGAACCCTCTAGGACTGGCTGAAGTGGGTCCCAGTGGGCTCCTGGTCCCTGAAGGGTCAGATGAGTAGCTACAGGTCTAGAAAACAGGAACTGGGGACAGGGCACCATCACCCTTCAGCCCCAGACTGCCCATCCCTGCAGAAGCATCAGTGCAAAGTATCAAGGCACAGGTGTGATGTAGTATTTTCTAGTAATGAAAATCATTTTTAGTGATATATTCAACTTTTTGATCATTTACTATGATTTATCACTTCACAATGGAATCAATATAAAAATTATTAATTAGGGTGTATTTTTGTCATTTAAATCTTGGCAATGCAGTGAACTTTTAGCCCTAAAGCCCATGTCAGTTTGGACAGGCCATGTCCCAAGTGCTCTGTAGCCTCCATGGAAGGTGGATGATAAGGCTCTAGATCTTGTTCCTGCTGCCCTTTTTGCTTGGATTGCATGCCCGTGCGCGTGCAAACACACACATACACGCACACACACACACGTACACGCACACACAGGGTCAGGACCACTTCACAAGCCACGTTCATGAAGTCCCAGCTGGGGGAGCTCCATCCTGCCTTGGAATCCAGAACCTTGAACCTTTCCCAGTGACATCGTGTTCCGGCTGGGTTACAGGCTGTGTCTACAAGGCCAGTGTCCCCATCAGGGGCCCTCCTTGGGTCCCACCAACTGATGCCACACCTGCAGAGACTCTTTCATGGTGTGCACAGAGAAGATACTGGAGAAGCATGTGCTGAAATGCATGAGGTGTGTTTACAGAAGCTGAGGAGACTTTAGGTTTTCTTAGGATGGATACTTCCTGCATATGAGAAGCCCACATAGGAGCATGGGGTGGTGGCACTAGGGCCGGAGTGTCTTCAGCAGAGCTTTACTTCGTATTCATGAGGTTTCCTGTGTGTGCTCTTTCTCCCTCATAAGTTGCTGCTCGTCTCCATAAAGGATGAACAGTTTTGGAAATGTTTTTTAAAACTTAAAATGCATCAAATCCATTTGGAGGGAACATACTGAATCTATAATCTATTTTACTAAAACATTATTTCCTGGGCACTGTTAGAGGGAACCAAGCTAAAATCAGAAAGAAAACAAAAAAGGAAAATTTTGCTAGGAAATGAGATTAATCCAAAGAAAGATCTAATCATTTAAAAGTGGAGCCACATTACCTGTTCTCCTCTGAGGGTTCTCATTCAGTTGATTAGACCATGGCTTCCCTTACTCTAGGGCTAGAGAGGAGGGACCTCTGTACACCCGCTCTTCTTGACAAACTTCCTTTTGTTAAAATGAATCCCTTTCAGTCCTGGGTAGGTGCCCTGGGTGCAGCTATATCAGAGAAATGGTGGGTGGTGGCTGGAAGTGTCATCCACCCCATGCCCGTGCTCACTGCTCTGTGTCCTAAGGACACTGGCCCAAGGCCACCGTGGAGGGCTGGTCTAGGGAGGCACGTGCTACAGCCATGCTGCTAACCGCTTGGCTACATCTGACTTGGAGAGCAATCAGACCATTTTCTGACACTGTGCAAGAGTCTGGTGTCCTGTGAAGACCCTGATGAGTGCAAGCCCTGGCTTCCTAGCTGGAGATTATGAGTCTAGGCCAGTGGTTTTCAACCAGGGGTGATTCTGGTCCCAGGGGACATCTGGCAATATCTGGACCCATTTTTAATTATCAAATCCGGAGGGTTGAGTAAGAAGAGAGGTGCTCTGAGCACCCAGTGGGTGGGGCCAGGGAGGCTGCTAAACATCCTGCAATGCTTGGGGCAGCCTCTCAGCAAAGAGCCATCTGTGCACAAAATGTGAATAGTATTGAGGTCTAGTGGTGAGTTTTATTAGGAAGATTTTTTGTTTTGTTTCATTTTGTTTTTCTGGTACTGGGGATAGAACTCAGGTCCTTGCACTTGTGAAGCAGGCACCAGAACCACTGAGCTAAATCCTGGATAGTGGTGAGTTTTGATGGAAGAATAGATGGCCTTGGTCAGACCTGGCCACGGACCCGCAGACAGTTCTAGGTATGGTGTTCAAAGTTAGATGCAGGTCCACTAGCTCACTCCAGGAGAAGCAGCATGCCACAGGAGACAGGGGGAGGCAGTGCAGCTGCCAAAGTCCCCAGAGAGGTGACGGGCCAAAGGCAGGCCAGGCTCACCAGCTGCACATCCACAGTGATCTGGGGGGCAGAGGGCAGAGTTCTGGGCTACAGAAGGCGGACGTGTTGGCCTAAAGCTTCAGTGAACCAGGCTTCAGTTCAGTGTAGACAAATAAGGAAAGTAAGAAGACTGTCCACAAAAGACCCCTCCCTGCCAGGGCATGCCTGGTACTGGGGAGCAGGGAGGCAGGGAGTGTCCTTATCGGTCCCTGCAGCTGAGGCTGCTGGTGATGCTGAGCTGTTCGGCTGTGTGTGTGTGTGTGTGTGTGTGTGTGTGTGTGTGTGTCCTGGACTCAATGAAAGCTTCCATTTCTACCTCCTAAGAGCATCAAAGTTCCTTTTTTACTGCCAACTTCCCAGGCTATCAAAACTCTTTGAATACAAAGCTGTAGGGTTTTCCTTTCCCCTTCCAGTTCATAAAATAGATTGAGTAATTTTTTTCTCTTTTCTTCTGGATGAAATTGTTGCAGAGAACCATGAGAACCACAGCAAGCAAGCTTGAGGATGGCATAATCTGGAGGCCAGTGGACAGCAGCCCTGGCTCTCTCTGGGGCTTCCACGCTGGAAAGAAGATGACAGGTTCACAGCATCTGGCATAAGGGGAGGAGCCCATAGTCATGGGAGAGGTCACACACCTGGCTGGGAACAGGGTGCTCCCTGTTCCAAAGCAAGGGGCGGGTGGCCCTGCAGTGGACCACAGGGGCTGGGCTGTCCACACTCAGTAGGCAGCAGAAGTCCAGGTCCTGAATAATCCTTTCCTCTGCTTTGTTTCCACATTTCCTTCCTGTTAGGTGCTCTTAGGGCTGTGGGCCTGGGCCTTGTATCAGCATGATGAGATTTGGAAATGGAGTAGAAGAAAGTCACCCACCTCCTCTTGGTTTTGATGCTACCCCAAAATAACTGTGGCTGACTATGGAGGTTCCTCAAAAAAAAAACAACTAAAAATAAATCTATCATATAATCCAGCTGCCTCACTTTTCTAGTATGTACCAAAGGAAACAAAATTGATATATCAAAGACATACCTGCATGTCCACGTTTATGGTTGCTCTGTTCACAATAGCTAATATGTGAAATCAACATACCCATCAACAGGGGAATGGGCAAAGATATAGAATATATACGAAATGGAATATTTTTCAACCATGAAAAGAACAATATCCTATTATTTGCAGCAAAATAGATGGAAGATATTATGTAAAATATGTAAGACTCAGGACAAATATCACGTGCAGATGCTAAACAAATCAATCATAATATAGAATTGTGGTCACAGGAGGCTCAGAAGACTGAGGGGGAAGAGAGACAGAAGGAGGTCAGATAATGTATTAAAACACAGTGAGACAGGAGTAACAAATTCTATATTGTCCAGGACAGTGAGGTGACTGTAGTTCATGGTAACTCATTACGTATTTTATGTATAAATAGCAAAGAAGCTCAAAGGCTCCAAACACAAAGTAATGATAAGGAGATGAAGACATTAATTGCTTTGATTTGACTGGTACAAATTACATTTTATTGAAATATCACACTAACTCATAAATATATACATTGATTATGTGTTAATCAAATGTTTTAAATTTGGGGGGGGGTACAGGGAATCAAACTCAGGACCTTGCACTTGCAAGGCAGGCGGCAGAACCACTGAGCTAAATCCCTGGCCCAAAATGTTTTTAAGCTTTAAAGAGAAGGAAATGTTAATGACCCCCATTTGATCATTGCACACTGTATATATGTGTCAACTTATCACACTAGATCCCATAACTATGTACAATTAAAATAACAATTAAATAAAGAATTTGAAGCTAAAGTGGAAAAGTACACATACAGCTTTTCATGGGTCCTGGAAATTTCATTCTTGCCCCCACTGCACCCTTGGGAAAAATGTGCAGCCAAGAGAGATGACAGCTACTGAAAGGTCAGAAGCCCTGCTATTCTTCAAAGCCCCGCCCCCACGCCTACAGATCTGCTCACCTGGTGATCACATAGGGGGCAAAGCACACGAGGAATGTCCCTATGAATGTGCTGATCTTCTTGGTGGCGCGCTGCCGCCTCCGCTTCTGCTCCTCCAGACAGCGTTCCCGCACACTGCAAGTGAAAAAAGGGACAAGATGACTCATGGGCAGCCTGGGCCAGTCACAGTGAGGTACTACTGGTTAACACAGGCAGTGGCTTCCAGCTTAGGGACTTGGCAAGGAAGCCAGAGACGCGGGGTCATTTTGGTAGTAGCTGGGTGATTTTGGGAAAAGTGTATGGCATTGCTAAGCTACAAGGTCATCCTCTGTAGTATAATATTATACAGACATATTTTATTTATCTGCTTTCTTATATATATTATAAAGAAATGTCAAAAGGGACTGTTTAGAGAATTAAATGCAATAAGCACACAGATGCATAAAATGTGTTCATTGTATAAAGTACGTGGCGCAATTAGCAATTGGGATTAAGAACAAATAAATGTCAACACTTATTATTGCTACTTACATTGTTCACTTATCACCTTTTATATACCAGCTCAAGAGAGCTGCTGTAAGTTGGACTATTTGTAATTCTTGTCTTTACCATAATTCATCCCTGCAGTGGGCCTTCTACCTGCCAAGTGGGTTTTACCTGCCATGTTTTGCAGTGAAGACCATGAGCTAAAGACTATTCTGCTGTGAGATGGGACACTTTGCTTGGCTGTCAAGTGGAGATAGGATTTGAACTGTGTCCTATGTCACCTGGGGCAGCTGGGGGTCTGTATATTGAGTGGCATAGGTGGGGCTACCTTTCTTCCACGTGTTCAGCCTTGTTTCTTCTATCCCAAAGACTCATCCCTGCCTCAAGCTAGAGACCCAGAATTACAGAGTGGCCAAAACAGAGGTCAGTTAATTCCTCCAGGGACCGAGCTTAGAGAAGCAGGTGGCCATATTGTCCTGGTGGAACTGGGGATACAACCTGGAGGGTAGAATCAGGAGGCATCAATGCCTCCAACCACCAATGCCTGTTCCTAGTCCACTGTCGGGGACCTTTGCACCACTGTCATTTCTGTACCAGCTGAGAGCAGTGGCTGTTTTAATGCACTGTGTGCAGTGACAATGAGTGCGTGCACAACAGTTACTCTGCCCACTGTCACAGGCAAGGAGCACACAAAAGTGGCCCCGAAAGGCAAGCCCAGCCCAGCTCAAGGCTTCATATGCTCCAGCTCAAAGAATCCAATAGAGGCATGTGTTTTTATAGTTGATGTTCTGAATAATTCATAGGAGTTGAAAGAGGGCAGAGAGGAAGACTACAGGCAGGCACAGTTGCCCAGGAAGTGCAGATAACTTGCCAGAGTCTAGCTTGGGTGGAAGTGACCTGCCCCCAAAATAGGCTGGTCTGCTATACACAAGCAAGCCACAGAGAGAAGATTCATGAGGCAGATCCATGCACATTGTTAATGAAGAGAGCCCACCCCCCGCCTTCCTTCAGAGAGGCCATTATTTTAAGGCATTATCAGAACTCTCCTTACTCAGATTTCCCAACACAGATGGACAATTCCATGTTAGTGTGGACTGAAGGATCCTAAAATTCCGATATTTTCCCCTTGACCTTTGCCTCTCCAGGATTTTATAGAGTTGGGAACTGAAGTTGAACTCGGTACAGCTTCAGGTTTCAGAGTGGTTGAAAATGTATTGTTCACAGTTACTTCTTAACTTCTAATGACAAATATAAGTAACAACCCACATTTTCTGGGTCTTTAATATATACCATGTTAGCTCCTGTGATGGGGGTCACATGCACTGTGCAGGTCTCTGACTGATATCATTATGGTCCCCATTTTTCAGATAAGGACACTGGGGCACAGAGGAATTAAGTAATTTTCCAAGATCACGCAGTTGGTAAGTAGTGACAGTAGGCTGAGCAATTTGTTCCAGTGGTCCCCATTTTATTACTGAAAGTCCTGTATCCTAAAGGATTCTCAGGGAATGACTCTGGTTGCAAAAGAGAAATTCCCCCATCTGAGACCCACGACAGTTGGTTACCCTGGGTGTTGGCAGGATGTGAACCCAGGGCCACTGATTCTGGAACTTTGGGCACCAAAGTTGTCTGTGTGATCACATTTCCTGGGGAGGCACTAGGACATCACTGCACCCAGAAAATTAGAAGAATATAGCCAGTGGCATGATGGGGACAGAGCAGTGGCTTTGTCTAAGCTCACACAGCAAGAGCTGGACTTAAATTCCCTTATTTTATGATTACACTTGGGTTTCTATAAAAGATTTCTACCAAGGTTCTCTGGTAGGTGTGACACGTACAAGGTACAGAGTGGGAGAGGGAGGACTAAAGGACAACCTGTCCCTAACAGATGTTTGTGTCTGTGCTTAACAGTCATTCTAGTTGTAGCTATTGTAAAATTCTCCTAAGACAATGAGGAATCAGGTTCAAAGTTGAGGAACTTTCCCCAGAGTGAAATAGCTCTGACTTAGGTGTCCTAAGCTCTGCCCTCAGAGTTGTGTGGCCTCGGGATGCCATACAACTCTCTGAACCTGTTTCCTCATTTATCGAAAGGAAATTTCCCAATAGCTAAAACTAGAGTTACCATTGATCACAGGGACAGGCTCTCAATGGGGATAGACATGACTCACCAGCTACCAGGACCTCGTGGGTTGAGACACTTCCCCGGGTAGGGAATGGGTGGTTTGGTGAGAACGCAATGTCCCCTCAGGTACTGGGGTACCCATGCTTGGCCATATCAAATAATCCTTATCCCAAACATGAGGAATATTTAAAAATGGATGCTGATCAAGGTTTAGAGGTCTTCAGAAGAACCAAAAATAATTCCATGTCTCTAAAGAAAAGAAATGCATCCTGCACAGGATGGAGTGACCAGTATCATTCTTTGCAGGCTGTAAAACTCATGGGGATGAACTGTGTTTGCTTGTACAAGGCCATGTGCAGCAGGAAAAGATTAAGCAGTAAAGTACTATGCTCTATATCACTTCTTAGAGTGGTTCTTAGAACCACTGCCTGAGGTTCTACTTTTCAAGTCTTACACTCAGGAGATACTTAGTGTGTGTTGTATTATGGTAGTTAATGAACTCTCCTTAAAAAACATAAGGAAATATTAAGACTTGATCATTTTTCAAAGTAACCTTTGCAAAAGAGATCATAATAAGCTAGAAATATGTTCTAAAATAGATTTTTTTTTTAAAGAGTGAATTTTAAAAACGTTGAGGCTATCAGCCAAAGCAAGAATTACCAATGGACCAATGGACCTGAAGCCAGGAAGAGCTTCCAGTGGCCTGGCCTCCCATCGTGGTTGGTAGCCTGGTGGTTAACCTTGAAGAACCAGAGCCACCCCTTTGGGTTCAAGTGCAGAAGCCACTGCTTAATAATTGTGTGGCCTTAGGCAAGTTACACAGCCTCTCTGTGCAGCAGCTTCTTCATCTATAAAATGAGAGTGATCAGAATATCTACCTCTCAGAATTATACTGAGAGTAACTGAGTTAATGCATGAAAAGTAGCAAGAGAGTGCTTAACAGTTAAACACTCAGTAAATGATCATTTTTCATTCTTGTGTATTTACTGAACAATTGCGTGTTATGTTCTAGGTCTGCTTTGAACTCCAAAACCACAGAGCTCCCTCTACCTTTTGAAGTACTTCCTTCCTGTACATGCATGAGATGTGGCTGTAGCCAGGGCCTGTGTCTGGGGTCCAGTGAGAGGGAGCTAACAGTAGGGTGGCCTGACATCGAGTCCTGACTCTAAGGTGCCTTCTGTGACCAACTCTGGGACTCCATGGACCTGTAGATACTGTTTCCTGGCCTGGTGCACTGGAGCACAGAGTGGGTCTGTAGAATACATGCTTGCCTGGAGGTGTGTCTCTGCTGGAACACAGCAGCTGACTCTGCAGCCACAGAGTGTGAAGGGTAGGCTCATCCGCCGTCTGCAGCCTGGTGCTCTTAGTCCTGAGTCACCGCATGCCCTGCCTGCTTTCCAGCACTAGGCAGTGGTAGTCAGGAGGTGAATAAGGCAAAGTGGCCCCAGGTTTCAGGGGAAGAAGCACAACCCCGAGTTCTTACCATTGTTTAAGCACCTGTACCTGCTCTCAGACTAACAGCATCAGAAAGCCACCAGCACTTTCTTTCTGTTCTCCCCCACCATAGCTTTATCGCAGATCTGAGCTCCCTGATGGGCTCAGTTCTGTGAGCTGCTTTTGTACTTACTTGCTAATGAAGACCCTGAAGACCAGAAATGTCTAGGACACGCTCAAGGCTGCATAAGGAGCTCAAGACTGAACTAGGCCTCATTGTAGGTCTCCTGGCCCCAGGTTCTAGGGTGTTTACCCCAATCCCACTGCTGCCTATAAAATCACCTGACTCTGAGCAGTCTCACAAAGCTCTGAGCCTGGTGGTGCAGCTGAATTCTTAGGGTTCTCAGGTGGAATCCAAGGTGCACAGGCTGAGAAGCCCAAAGCTCTCCAAAGGCAATCTGGCCAGTGTGTGAACTTTGGGGTGGGTGTGGGGGTAGTGTCAAGGTGGGCATCAGGATATGTCCTGAAGCTGTGCAGGACAAGGAATTTCTTGAGACCAAAGGAGACAGGTTGTCCAGCTTTGGGACATTTGGGGTGAAAGAGATGCTCCCCATCGGGCTTTGGTAATTGGGCAAAGGGAGGGGCAATTCTGAGAATGTCTGAGAAGTCAGTAAATGAAGTGACCTCAGATAAAATCTTCCAACCACAGACACCTCCTTGCCTCTCCAATGAGTCTGTGTCCTGAATGATCCCAGATGACTGTAGTCTACCCAGAGAATAAGCTGAGTGCTCACAGAGGCTCTCATTGGTTTTCTGGCTTTTAAGGCAAGGGAAAAGCTTGCCCTTAAGAGAAGAGACTGATGATGGGAAGAGCCCTGCATTAGGGATATGGATACTGGATTAGCTGTCCTGTCCTCAGATCTAATAAGAGTGGTCCCCACCTGGACCCTGCACACTAGGGAGTCCACCCACCTCTCCCTGTGAAATGAATAGTTCACGGGGCTAAGGGAACCGCCCACCTACAGCCCACACCTTCCATTCTGGGCCAAAAGTGCCTGGAATATGCCATTCTTTGCCAAATGCCTTGATTCTGTTTCCCAAACTAGGCTCCTATATCTTCTCTGGTCCCATCCCTGAAGGTGGCTATGCTGCCCATGTGCTTGGCTAGAGGACAGTGAGCCACCCGTGTACATGGCACATGGGCAGGCAACCTGCAGTGTGCATCTGTGCAAGGGAGACCCCTGCAGTTCTGTTAGACCCTGGATGGAGAGGGGAGGCAGGCAGGCTGGCTCAGCGATCCTCAGCAACTTCAAGGCTCTGAGGCTTCCAAGAGCCTGAGAATTCTAAATCTCAATCCAAGCCCAGCCTGCAGCTTGTTATATTTGCCAATGTAAAAGGATAGAGCATATTTCATTTAACAGTTTATAAGCTTGATTTGGAACTTCTAAATACATATTCTTTGTGAGATTTTCTTTGCCCCATCAAAATATCCTCAGGAATGAATCTGGGCTTGAGCAATTTTCTAAGATCTGCTAAATTAGGCAGGTGCCCTTTTCCTAGGGTCTCTCAATTCCATCATCTGTAAAGTCAAGGACACAGTGAGGTTCCATCTGCTATGCCACAATTCTGCCACTGTCTGGAGCCAGGCTTTGCAGACATGGTTCATGGGATACCTAGGAGACTCTGGAAGGCTGAGCAGACCTGGGAGATACTTAGAAGAAACATCTATCCAGCTTCTTGCTTGAGTCCTCTTCAGGACTCTATGCAGCAATTAATCTAAGCCAGTGAGCTTGACTCTGGTTTGAACTGGAAAGAGCAGGGCACATGCATCCAGACCTGGCCCCACATGCTCAGCCATTCCTGCAGCACCAGGTGGAGGTCTGGCTATCACTATCTAGAGCTTTAGTTAGGGCCACTGCATGGTGAGCACTGAGGAGGTGGAGGGCCAGGTGTGTACCAGACCCTGGAAACCCCCATTGACTTTATCAATGTTTTGATTGAGAAGCCACCACAGAAAGACAGAGTGAGGGACTACACATTGCATTACTCATTGCATTAAATATCTGCAGGAACAGCAGACAAATGCCATGCTGGGCCTCACAGAACTCAACATACATCCCTTTTAATTAAGTTCCTGTAGGCTGTTGGGGTGGTGGTTGCAAAAGATTCCAATAGCCAAGACTTCACCAGGTTCTCTGGATGTTCAGAGAAAGAAACATGGCTTTTGATGACTCAAGACTGGTACCCCGAGATCACAGAGACTCTTGGCACCAAATTGGCCAGAAGACCCAGTGCCTGAGGGTGGAGGCACCCAGGCAGCTCCAGAGCTAGCACTGCAGTTTCTTATTTGTATAGAGGAAGTTTGAGGCAGACAGGCAGAAGCAGATGGACTGCCTACCTGTCCCCTTCTGTACAGCCCATCCCCCTTGCTCTCACTGTGGGAGCCAAGCCCTCTGAGAACAAGTTTGCATTCACTGAGAGGTCCTCTATTTCATAACATCAGTGAGATGGAGCCTGTAGAGCTGGCCCGGACAGTCCTTGCTCAGCAGCCCTTCCTTCCTCCAACAAGGCTGCCTACTATGAGCAGGGACTCCTTAAAAGAGCCTGTTGCTTAGAAGAGGTCAAGGTTCCCCTGAGAAGTGAGGGGCTGGATGCAAACAGAAAGGCTGCCTCTGCTTCTCAGATCCTTGGAGACTTTCTCTGCAGTTTCTGACCTGCAGTGAGGGAGGGATTTGCAGGAGTAGAGCTGGTCTTCCACCCTAACTGGGTTGAAAAAGAGCCACTAGCTCTCCAATCCTGGAAGCCGAAGAGCTGAGATACGGATTTACACTGTACTAAATGAGGACTGGTTCCATTTTCAGCACCATCTCCCCTCCACTGTGACTCATGACAAGAGAGCCCTCTTTGGGCCTCACTCAAGTCCAGAAGTTAACACTTCCATGCATCTTCCAAGAGCAGTCCTGGCCCCAGCCCCAGGGTGAAGAGTGATGAGGAAGGGAATAGCCCTGCAATCGTGGTTGCAAAACATTTCTTTAAACCTCTCTGGACTGTGCACAGACACAGGCAGTGAGAGCTGGTGCGGGTGCCTTTGTATGTGACTGTGAGGCAGGTCCTATGTGGTAAGGAGATTGCTTCAGTGTGTAATCAGGAACAATGGATGCACGCATTCATGCCCTGATTGCAAGCATGGTGAAGTGCAAGGACTGCTTGTCATTGTTGAGGACAGGAAAATCTCAGCAAGGTGTCCTTACTAAAATGGACACTTCTAGTACGGCCCCTTGGCCCTAAAGAGATACCTGCATGTGCAGGATAGGACTGAGCTCACTCCACTGCCACAAGGCTCCCTAAGTTCCAAGGCTCTGCTAACAGCAAGGGCCCCAGCCTTCCCTCCCCAGGGGTCTCCGCCTGCCTCACTCATCCATCCATCCATCTGATGCTAAGGCCCTTAGCTAGGATCCCAGGCTGCTGAAAAGGAGCCTTCCCTCTGTGGATTTAAGAAGACAACAGACACACACCAGCACTTTCCATTTCTGCATCAGGAGATCCTCATGAGGAAAGCTGAGGTGAGCTCAGGACAGCCCAGATAAATTTCCTCTCCCTTTCCCAAGGGATTCCTGGGTTTGGCAGGAGTTTCTCACAGGTACTTGAGCTGTCTGCCTTCCCCTGCCTTCCTGAGACAGCAGCCAGTGAGCATAGAGATAGGTGCGCGGGTTCAGTCCCAGAAGTCTCCGGGGTGGCCCTCCTGTGGGGCCTTAGGACTCAGAGTCCAAGAGACACTTGGGAGTGGAGGAAAAGCCTCACACCTCAGAGCCCACCACAGGGCAAGGGCAGCTCACCTCCATCTGGTGAGGACTCAGGCACACACAGGGCAGGAGACGGGCAGCCAGACACCAGGGAGAGGCAAGACACAGAGAGGGGCTTCACATTCCATTTGAAGAGCTCTTCAGGGCTTCCTAAGCCTCTGGGTCCCTCTCAAGGCCAGATTCCAACCTTTCAAAGACTCTAAACCGGGAACAAAGCCCACTGCTTTTCTATGTGCCCTTTTAAAATGAAAACTACAAACACAATGAGTGTAAGGAAGCCCAGAGGACTTCTGCCTCCGCTTTCTGCCGGATGCTTCAGAAAGCGCCGTGTGGGTCACGTCACCCACATTTTCTGTGGCTCCGTGCTGCTGGTGTTCAGGCCAGCCGCTCGAATCCCCAGCGCTGGCTACTCACCCCACCTCGCTGTCCAGGAAGGAACAAGGGTCTGCCCACAGCGGAGACCTCCCGCTCCCAGTGTCACCGTGCACGGCGAGCCCCTGCCCCCCGGGCCCCTCACCTGGGGTGGATGTCCACCAGGAGCACGAGCGTCTGCATGGTGATCACGTCGATGCGCTTGCAGTGGAAGCGGGCCACCTTGAGCACCTTGAGGTACGTGAAGCAGAGCACGACGAAGGACAGCAGGAAGCTGAGCGTGTGGAAGGCGCCGGTGAAGACGGCAAAGCGCAGGCGCTCGTCGGGTCGCCGGCTGCACAGCGTGCAGGACGCGTACAGCTGGTGGAAGCCGAGCCAGGACAGGGCGAGCGCGGCCGCCGGGAAGGTGAGCGCGTGCAGCCACGTGTAAGCCACCATGAGTGCGGCGTCGCGGAGACGCATCTTGGTGCGGTAGCTCAGCGGGAAGACCACGGCCACCCAGCGGTCGATGCTGAGCGCGGCCATGCTAAGCATCGAGTTGGCAGCCAGAAAGGTGTCGAGGAAGGCGGCCAGGCGGCACAGGCGGTCCCCGGC